TTATGTTGATCAATTTGATCTTGTAAGAAGAAATATGATATGGATATGAACAATTATGATGAATAAAATATAAGCTAAGCAAAACACAAACACACAATATGTTTACGAGGTTCGGTCACCACGACCTACGTCCCCGCTCCTCACCTCGAGGAGATATCCACTATCACAATCCGGTTTGGAAGCCGGAACTTCTACACACTCGGTTTACAAGATCACCGAAAACTCTCACACTACACAAACACTATGCAATCACACTTTACACACTAAGTGTAGGAACCTACCCCGTGTCCTCCTTCTCAAGTGCTCGATTACTACCTCTCCTAGGTTCGTCAATCGACGCCACTCCTATTGGATTCGACCCCGTGTCTCGCCTCACACTTCTCTCGGTGTACAAGTGTATTACAAGTGATTCTCACAAATAAAAGCTAAATACTATGATTTATTCTCAAATAACAAGTGAGAACACAATGAAGCTCACATTCACTACATCATACACCACAACCCACACTATATGGTATGAAAATATTAAGCTCAACAAGTGTGTGTGATAACAGTGAATGAAACTCAATAAATATAGCTAAATGAAATGAAAATGAAATAATAAGCTATATAAGAGTTTAGAAGACTTCTCAAACAAGAAGAACAGTATAGATGATTCCAATGGGATTTGAAAGCCACTTCTTGTTGTAGAAAAACTTCTCTTAAAAATGGATTGATGAAATCAACTTTAAACAGCTCTTAAACACAATTAATATTTTGTTAAACACCAAACTTGGATTTCTTGGATATGTAGAAGAAGAGCAGCAATGGGGTATATATAGCACCCCAATACAATAGCAAAAACATGAGTAAAAGACCAAAAAACCAGTTTGAAAACAGCTGTACAAAACTAGCCGTTGTTGAGTTCTGACAGTTCGGCGGTCGACCGGTCCGGTCGACCGCTAAGATCAAAAACTAAAAGAATATCAATTTAAAGCTGGCGGTCGACCGATGGAATTTTCGGTCGACCGAAAAAGTCTCTGGAGGTCTCTCGGTCGACCGGTGCGGTCGACCGTGAGCAGCTCAGGAAAATATAACTGGCGGTTGACCGCACCGGTCGACCGAAAACTGACATATAGCATATTGACAGGTTTTGGGGCTGTTTTAAAAATTCATTAAAAATATCAAATCAAATCCAAAAATAGTGAAACTTTGGGAAAAGTTTCTAAATGATAAAATAAACATGTTTGAAAAGGAATTTTTGGAAAATCAATTTTCGTTTGTGAAAACTCCCTATTTTTAAAAAGTGTTCAGAAAACCTGTTTTTTTGTGAACATGAAAATTGACATGAAGCTTGTAAATATGTATATATATATTGAGCATGTATTATATGTATATAATGAAGTATGAAAGAGCTGTAAACATGAGATAAAAGTTATTATAACAACGTTTGATGAAAAATTATTTATATGATAGAAAACGTCAAAAATCGTGTTAAGTGTACATATATTGAGCTTAGATATAATTATACAATATATGTAAGTAAACCAAACATATATCTAGGTAAATCCACACATATGAACTTGAATCTTTAACGCTTGATTGACGTGTGTTGAAATACCTGAAAAGAGAAACATAAACACAGAAACTAGAGAATATATTAGCGATAAATTGTTTGACAAATCATCATCAAAACTATAGGGTCAACACAAGCTCCAAAGCCTTAGCAAATTGACGTGCGAGATGCTGACGACGCCTTTGACGAGCCCTCTTCGTCAGCACTGGTGCACTTTCAACGGGCAACTCCTTGACTTTCGAGGAGTTGTCACGAATGTTGGATCTGGTTTCTTTGGAAGCCGGAGAGGAATCTTTCACTGCATTCGGGTTCAGATCATCAGCCTTGGTTTTTGGATCTGAAGTCACGTTCTTCGCGGTAGTAGTTTTCCTGCGTTTGTAAGAAGAAGATCTGGAGGAGGAGGAAGAAATATATTCTTCGAATTTCTGCTGGTCGAATTCGTATTCGACCTCTTCGAGCACCGGGATCTTGATCGTCGGCTGTGGCACGACAGCTTCGGCAGCGAAGCTGTTGGCTCCCACTGTGGTCGCCAGCTTGTTTGCGGAGAAAATTGTTTGATTCATTACGGTGTTTATTACAAACTTCAGACGTTTACAACGAAAACAAAAATTAGTCTTTTTATAAGACCTTTACATAATGAAAACAAAAAAAAAATACAATTCTCTTCAAACAGCGCAGAGATCGTTTATCGGTCTTCTGCTTGCGTGGGATCTTGGCCTGTGACGGGGATGTTGATATCCGTGGACTACCTGACAATCAGATCAGATCCAGAACTCCATCGATTCACGAAGGAATCTAGAAGCAGAAGCGCTTATCTCGGCAACGGCGAGATAATTGCTCTTCTTAGGATTACCGCAACGGGATAATCCTAAGGAACGGACGCGGGTAACTGTAGATCTGACGAGCTCCTCTTCTTTATGCCGACGAACTCGATCAAATCTCTACTCCTCCTCCTCTCTGAAATTCGTGCACTTTTGATATTCAATCCGGCAGGGCTTCGCCAACGCTCGAGAATTCCAGAGCTGAAAAAAAGAGGCTCCAGGGGCTGTATTTATAGGCTTCCAGGAGATCCGGACGGTTAAAACCGCACAACGACGGATTTCTAGGGCTGGAGACACCCCAGGGTGTCTCAGCCAGGCCGAGACACCTTGGGGTGTCTCGTTTGTGCCGAGACACCTCGGGGTGTCTCAACTCAGGCTGAGACGTTCCGTTTTGTATATTTGTCCGTTTCCGTCGTAACTTCTTCATCCGAACTCGAATTTGAGCGATTCAAAGTGCGTTGGAAAGCCGAAGAGGAGTTCTATAAGCTCCAATGATTAGATCATCTGTGGAATAAATGAGACACGAAGGGTATTTCGCCGTTTGTGAACGACACGAGGTTCCCGATCAGTTCGTGTCTTTGTTATTCTGAAATTCCGTTACTTCACGTAGTTCGTCGATTCACTTCAAGCGTTCACTAACATCAATCAAGCTTTTGTGAACCGGATAGTGACGTTCATCGTCTTTTCTTAGCGCTGAGCTGTTCGTGGAGACCTATAGGCAATTTTCGATGCTTACACCCACTTCTAAAATCTCTGACCTTTTTCATGAGAGCAAACATTTTCAATTCTAAGAGACTGAGCTCCCACCTCTTGAAAACAATAATGGAGCTCAAAAGGAGAAATTGAAAGACACCAACCAACCACTGAATTAGGCGTGGGACAGTGGGAGACTCGCTAGGGTAGGGTTTAAGATGTTGGAGGCGGAATGGAATGTGAGCTGGAGACTTGCTAGGTTAGGGTTACAACTTACAAACGGGTTTGGGTTAGCGGTTATGGGTTGTAAAGTTGTAATTGTAACTTTGGGACCCGAATCATTATTACATTTACGGATATCCGTATTCGTAACCCTCATATTCGTTTCTGAATCCGTATCTGAAAAAAATCCAAAACCATATCCGTATTCGTTACCGTATCCGCCCGGTTTTAAAATTTGTTTACCATATCCGCATCCGTTCGAATATGGATGCGGATCGGTTCGGATATAACCGAACCTTTTGGCACCCCTAGCGGCCATAGTTCGATTCCTCACTCAGGCCTTCCACATCTGCAAGGGGCTTTGCCTTGCTACCAAATGCCCATCCCCACGTTCTCATGTGACTAAGCGAGCAACGTGGGGCTCGAGAAGGACACGAACCTGGGAACATACAACGGACTGAGTTAACTGATCAGAAAAACCCTGGGTCTTCGCCCCTACCCTTAAACCCAGGGAGACCAGGTGAATTCGGCAGTGTGGATTCGAACCCCTGACCAACAGAGTATTGTGCCTAAGGAGTACACCTCCCCCATGGTACTGCTGACCTTAAGTCCCACCCGCGGGTGGTACATTTTACATTGTTTGCTAAAAAACACAACATACTTAGAAAAAAAGAAATATTACACATAATTTAAAAAAATATAAGTTCATTCTCCAAATGTTTTACCTTATTTTTCAACTGCTTCACATGCTATTCTTGTCACCTTTACTTGAATTTTCATTGGTTATTATGCTGCAAGCTCCCTCCTCCTTTGCCCAACAGAATACATGCACTCTTTGTGGGTATTTGGTACAACCTTAAAATGCTCTTCCCTTAATTTCCCAATTTCAACATATTTTTAGTGGTGTGAGGATTTTACAGTGACACTCCACCACCCAAGAAGAATTACTTTATTCAATCTGCTGTGTTCATCCCATGTCTATAAATATGAAATTATCAAGCTTTGATGCCAACAAATGAAATGTGTCTGGAAATTTATAAAAGCAAAGCACCATTGTTGCTATCAACCGTCGTAATTGACCGTTAGGATGCACGTTGCTTCAAATATGTGATATGCTTACCTCTTTGACTTACGCCTGTGTAATTTTTCTTTTCTGAAAGGTGACCTTGTTTATGTTCACATGTTGTAATTTTCCAATAATGTTTTCCAAAGTAAACAAACTAAGGAAAAAGAATACAACTTATTTTTCAAGTGTTGATTTTACACCTTACTTTGTTCTCTCCAAACGAATGAGAGTTGCTCAATTTCATTTTTGCTATTCTAGTCTACTTTCAACTATCCAAACAGAGAATAGAAAATTAGGGGAAAGCCCTATAAATGCATATTTCACATGGAATTAGTGATTCCTATTTTTTATGGATTTGAACCAAACGGGTCCTTTGTAAAATCTAAAAAGATCTGTCTCGGTGATATTTCCGATTACTATCCCCCCCGCCCCACCCCACCCCACCAAAAAAAAAAAAGGATCCGAAACCCTCGGATTGGGATCCTCTCCTAAGGAATAGTGTTTCCTAAGATCTCCTAATACATCTCAACCTTTGATTTTGTGTATGAGCACAAAAAACGAGGAGGTCCTATGCAATGAATGGTTGAGATGCATTATGAGCTCTTAGGAACACTATTCTTTAGGAGAGAATCTCAATCCGAAACCCTCAAACCCGCTCGCGCGGCGTCTCTCCCCGTCTCGCAAAAGAGCGGGAAAATCGAAGAACGCCCCCACCCCGACGCACGCATTCGATTCCGAGAAAGGGGGGAAAGATGGCGTGGTCTCATCCCGACATCTCGCTGGATGAGCTCATAACCCTCATCAAAGGGCTCATCGATATCTTGATCTTAGCATCAGGATACCAATCCTCCGGCCTCCCCGCGACCTGGGACGCCGACAACATCAAGAAAGCCATCCAATGGGGCATCTTCTTCGAAGAGGTAAAAATAAAAAATCATCCCAATCTCCAAATCTTCAAATTTTATATTCAATTACGTGTTTGGTCCTAGATTACTGAAAATTTTGATAGAAAAGGAGGAATCTTTGACCTAAAAACGCTCTTAATTTCAAGAAAAAACGTCTTTTTGGTCTCAAATTAGGGGTTTTTAGTAACCTGGCCAAGGTGGCCGGGGGATTTATTAATTGGAGAATATACATGAGATGAAGGAAGAGGGAGAGGTACGGGAGGTAAGCGGAAGGATATGAAGAAGAAGAAAAAACTAGTAAAAAAAATCTTTGATTCGGTTGTCTACCCCGGTGTAAAGTGATGGTATCATACCAAGAAGAATGTGATTGTACAATCAGACAAGGGAGTGTGTCTGCATCTCTGAGTTTATTATGGAAAATTCTCTTGTTCTGTTCATTCCAAATGTGGAAGTAGCGAGAGCAACACAATCCCATTGATTAAGCACGTGTAGAAGAACATTCCGACGCCAAGAGTCCCAAAGTGTTGCAGTTAATGGTGAAAGTGGATTTAGAACAAAGCAAAGCAAGAATTAATCGGATTCCAAACACCAAGAGTGTAAGTATAATCGAGGAAGATGTGATCATTAGATTCCGGACTGTTGTTGCAGAAGGGACATGTAGGATTATGCGGAAAATTCCTCTTGGAAAGATTATCGGCAGTGAGCAATCTACCATATAAGGGTATCCGCATGAGAATCTTCACCTTGAGCGGAGTGGGTTAGATTGAGTAGAACTTGATGCAGTTCTACTCAATCTCAAATTAGGGTTACGGTGAAAAATATGAATTGAAGCCCATCTTATTTGTTATTTTAAAAGAAAAGCTTCTGATATTGACTTGAATTTAAAATATTATTTGTAGTTTTTTTTTGCAGAAGCTCAATAAAGGCTACATGAGTTTGGTCATACTACTACGTAAAAGATGTAAATTGCTTATTTTTTGTGCACTTATTTTAATTTGAGGAAGACATTCCTAACAAGAGACAATAGCTTGAGCTATGAATGTCTATTATTTATCAGTAACTGATTACTGTAAAATTTCAGCGTCAGCTTTCAATTTGTTAAAATCTATTTGTGATTCTGGAGTATGAACAAAATTTTGTCCTTAAAATAGTTCATTATTTTGCAGTTGATCATTTTTTTGAACATGTTAAAAGTCTGATAACTCTGGTTCTTTCATGGGAAAATAATTCAGTAAATCTTATTTTTTTATACTTCCAAAGTCAGACTTGGTTGCAACGAACAATTTGCCACAGCAGTGTATTTGATGTTTATAGCTATATGCTGAAAGTAGACTTATTAAGCCTTTCAGATTTTTCTGTCTTGGTTTCCCTTTTCTAGTGAGTGCCCCAATATAATAGAGCAATTTCCCCCCCAATCAATTCACTTGCAGTTTTTCCATCTTATTTCTTTTTTGGCTTATCTTAATGCTGCTGATTGTTACTTTTGTTATGGCAGGTTCTTAACCATCTACATGGTACTCCTTACTTTGAAGAGTCCATTAAAGAACTTGATGAAGCTCTACTCAATCTCACCTCCAATCCACTGTTTCCTCAGGTAGATATTTGTCATGGCATTTTGAAGGATCAGTAGGTTAAACCAATTTACTGTGTTTGCAATGGAGACATGTTATAATGATGTGATGTCATGTTCTATTCAAATGCAGGGTCTTGCCCGTCTGACATCCGCAACTCTTTCTAGTGCAAGATATTTGGTTTTACAACATCTACTTAAAATTCACCCTCCAGAAGATGCACATATTTTTGGTCTTTTGACAGCAGTTATTGAAGTGGATATCAGTGAACTCAGCGATGTGGATGGCAATGGCCCTCACATATATATTGACAGGTTGACGTCAAAGATAGAATCACTAACTTTAGAATCTGCAAACAACTTGGTCAAGGATTCTACAGTTCCATTGTATGCAACCGGTTCAAGGACTTCTGCTTGTTCTAAATATAAAGTCCTTGATCAAAAAATGCCTACTGATAAATATGTTTGTAATTCACACTTTGTCATCCGAGAGCTCTTAAAAAGGCGAGCTTCCAAGTCATGCTTGTTTTCAGTCGAGACAGGCCTTTATAAGGTTTCAGAAGTTGTTACGAGAAGCAACTCGGTCGAACTTGAAAATACTCTGTCAGAAGGTCCAGTGTAAGCAACAGATTCATTTGATACTAATCTACTCAGGATTACATTATTTCACTCTTATATTACACTCTTATATTAGGATACTTCTTAAGTTTCGTGTGCTATAGTATATCTCTGCACAGTGACTTGTTTAAGCTTCTTCACCACAAAAAAGTGGTATATCTTAATGTGTATATGTTGAGCTCACTGTTTGTTATTTTTTCTTCCAACAATTCTCCTCATCCAAATTGCTATTTTAACTATTGCAATTATTAAGGACCTTAGAGAATATTCTAGGTCATCATCAAAGAACTGAATTTTTATGTTTACATTTAGTTTGTTAGACAGCAGTAAAGTGACAATAGGACAGACTTATTACTCACAAAAGACAATAGGACAGAATCAGATATATCACTTTTTTCTTTCAAAATCAATCCTTGCTTCATATTTCTTCGACTATTCTGGCAAATAAAGCAGTTTCAAGAAGCATAGATATTATTTTCAATCATCATTGATCAATGTCTGTTTATCTACTCTTTGTACTGGATAGCAAGGTGGCACACTAGAACTATGAAGTTTAACATTTCTCACCAAACAAGAACATAGATAATACAAGAGGATCTCTCTGACAGAAAGCTTGCCTTCACCTGGAGTAATTATGTGGCCTCTGCTATTGTAGGTTTTTGTGAAAGCAAACCTATAGTCTATCAATCATTGCAAACTTGTGCATCAAGTGACCGCAATTTTACTTATGGAACCTTGTGACTTATCTCTATATTTCTATGGCATAGCCAAATTAAGGCTCCTGAAGTTTTACTTAATTCTCACTCAACAGTTGGGAAAAAACTTGGACAGACAATGTATATTTAATAAAGAGCAGAGGCCACATAATTACTTATTGATCTGCTTGCACTTAGACCAGATTCATTTAGGGCCTTTGCTATACAATACTTTATTTCTATATCTAATTTCATTTTTTGGGCAATGCTTCTCATTTTGATACACTACATGTCATGCCCCTCTCGTAGAAGTTACTATTGTTTCTAGTGTTATAGTTTTATTATTTGTCCTTGAGATAAATCCATTTCTTGCCCTCATTACACATTTGCAACGTTTCATTTGAAAAAAAATCCTTGTGCCCAACCAACCTTGAGGAATATGAGTTTATGAATCAAAGACACCATTTTTCAGTTGAAGGCTATGTCATTGGCATCTGCAATTATATAATCCATTTATTAGCTTACTAAAACAACGCGAAAGTGATAAACCTCGGAATCCACCAATGGGTATTCTTTGAATCCACAAAGAATAATCTTTGAATCCATGAAGAGACAACCTCAAAGTAATATAAAAGGGAATTTTATCGAAGAAAAGTTATGCCTCTAGCACTTACAATCCTCTGCTTAAATATAAAAAAACTAGACTTTTACTAGGATAGAAATATCACCCCAACCCAAAAAATATTCACAACTACCTAAAAACTCTCTATAATAGAGAAAACAAATCAGTTCAAATTGAATCAAAATTGAATTTGTTTCTAATCTAAATTGACTCCCAACTTTATTACTAAAAATATCATAGAGACTGATTATTTTGGAATCCTACCAAATACGAGTAATCCTGATAGGATTCTAGGAATTTGTCAAGTTGATTGACTCCGTCTCATCGAGATAGGTGATTTTCATATATAATATGTCAAATCTGTCTTCCGGATTATGAGATATGGTCATTTCTTTACGTGCAAGTTAATAATACGTACATATCCGCGTTTAACTTGTGATAGTTCCGTCCCTTGTTGAAAGAAGCTCGACCCCAATCTTATATTTGCTTGAATAGAAACTTCCTTGATAAACACTTTTCTTTTTCTGCATCGATCAACATCCGTCTTGTACTTAGCATTGATTTTCACCATTTGTTCTTTTACTTCCTCGACTATTACTTCCTCGACTAGGACTTCTTCTGAATTAAAACTTTTTGTATAAAATTTTCCCGCACATCATGTATATGCTTGGCGGCATGTGGATTAGTGGACTTGAAAAACTCCCTGAATATATGTTCCTTGTTGCTTCCCATATCTATCATCTCAACCTTCTTGAAATTATGCACAACCTTTGCTTCCAAAGAAGAAAATTCTCCATTATACTTAATACACAATTCTTTTATTTCCTTTGCCTCGAGCTCTCCACCAAACAAGTCACATGTATCATCAATTACCTCGTTCTCTATTATATCCTTCTCCTCTATCGGGACAATATCAATATATATAATATCACACACAATGTCTTTGATAATATCATGCATACTTCCGTCTTCATTAACATATCACCATCAACATTAGAAATCTCATGCACAATGAGGGTTTGCACTTCAGGTTGAATCTTGATGGTGGCAGAATCTTCATTTTCGGTTATGAGTGTCTCATTGTCCACCACTAGAAAAACCTTTTCCTTAGCAGTCTCTGTCTTCAATGCCTCTAGTTCTATGATCAACATAATTGATGAAGTCTTCCTTGTTGCTTCTTCGGTGCTCTTCACAAATCCAGACACTTCCTTAGAGATGAATTGAGGTTCTTAGTTTTGCTACAATCATAACTAGTGTGAGAACTCTTCGTAAACATTCACGACGAAGGTCTTTTGTTGTTTTGCTCAAGTTCTCGCTCCACCTTCTTCGCTAGATGGACTGTGTTGGCTAAGATAAAAAAATCTTGTAAAAACAACCGACATTTTTGTAGTAAGAAGGTAGGAACAATCTTTTAATAATTTCTTCATCTTAGCCCATGTTCGAATCGGATCCCTCCTTTGATGGTATCAATTTATCAATACTTCGTTCCACAATGTAGCTGCTTTCCCTTTAAGTCTGCAAACCACCACTAATTTAACTTTTCAATCTTCTGAGATTATCTCATAATAGAAATATCTATTCACCTCATCAATCCAATCAAGGAAATTATCAAGATGAAGCTTTCCATTGAAGGATGATATCTTTAATCCTCTAGTGTTATAGTTCTCCTTTTCGGTAGCCTCTACGACCGTCACAGTAGGATTTGTCTTGCGAAGTCGGATCTTGTCTTTGGCGACCATCAACGCGATCTCGAACTCATCTCAGATTCATATGCTTCACAACCAATGCAAGCCAGTCTATGGAAGTCTTCATTTGAGTAACTCCTATATTCAACTCATCGAACTCAGTTCGAAAATAAAAAAAACTCAAATCTTAATAACACGGGCTTCATTGCCTACTATCGGATTGGAGAAACGGGCTCTCATACCAATTAACGCAGCGCAAATGTGATAAACCTCAGAATCCACCTAGAGGTGTTCTATGAATCCACATACGACAATCTTCGAATCTTCGAAGACGAAGAGACAACCTCAAATCCATGAAGCAATATAAAAGAGAATATTATTGAAGAAAAGTTATGTCTTTAGAGCTTACAATCCTTTGCTTAAATAGAAAAACAAAGTAGACTCCTATTAGGAATAGAATAAAAAAGAAATTCTTCAAAACTACCTGAAAGACTGTAACAGAGGAGACAAATCAGTTCAAATTAAATTAAAATTGAATTTGTTTCCTAATCTAAATTGACTCCAACTTTATTGCTAAAAATATCAAAGTGGTTGATTATTCCATAATCCTACCAAATATCGGTGATCGTAATAGGATTCTGGGAATCTGTCAAGCTGATGGACTCCACCTCGTCAAGATAGGAGATTTTCATATATAATATGTCAAAATTAACCTTTTGGATTAGGAGATATGGTCGTTTCTTTGCGGGTAAGTCACTACGTATGTATCCATGTTTAGCTCGTGATAGTCCTGCTCCTCTGTGAATTTGTCCGTTATTTTTCCTACATCACTTATGAATACAATTTATAACACAGTAGTATTATTTTAGCTACTTCTTTTGCAGTTCTTTAGGAATTCTGCAATCCTACAATGACTTGGCATTTTAATCACAAATTTGCTGTTCCAGACAACCTTTTGTCTATCTTTTAGTTTCTCATGCTTTCATTGACTGTTTGAATTCTTTTTGATGTTGCAAGAAGCCTGTAAAAACATACTATGTGGTATCATTTGAGTCTTTAACTTATCCGTGTGAATTGATAACCTACTTTCTTGTGGATTTTACAAAACTGGAGAGAAATATTCAGAGATGATCCATGAGCGTTTAGCATTACATGGAACAGGGTCAATATCTCCCACTCTATTTATGAAGATTCTTACTTGACATTTCAGTCCACCAAACTTATTAACTTGCTTGCTTTTCTTCTAATTGCCTGATCATCCATCTACTAGACCACTGTTGTAAGATAAAGGGGTGAATATATAGTTACTCAAATTCATAGTGCAGGAATATGCTAATTTATCGAACGATCTGCTTTGTCCTCTTGGTCGCAAATAGCATCTGTAAGTTTCAAGATTTCTGGTCGCTAAGGATTAGGAAAATTTCTTGCCTATTTAACCAGCGAAGAGGAAATCATGAACGAGAAGTGTTTTTGGAACAACTGGAGGTCAAGGTGCCTTTCTTATTTGTTAGATAAGAGGACTGTCAAACTGATCTCGGGTGCAAACTTGATTTTCACTGCCCCGAAGCTCCAATGGATTCATGTTTTTGAAGCATTGAAATTTGCAACTGATGCCGAAAATGATAATCTTCTTGAGATCATGGTAATTCCTGCCGACTTGTTCTATGTTTCTTATTGGTATGCATAATTTGAAATCACCTTAAATATAGTTTATTAAAGAACCTTTACTTGTTGGTATGCATCACTTATTGGTATGCATTACCCTTATGCATCACTTATCGGTATGCATAATGTAAAATCACCTTTAATATAGTTTATTAAAGAACCTTCACTTTTTATATTAGCGTATCCTCAAATACTTCAGCGTGCCTTTTCATCATTTATTATGTACTGTCCAGTGTCCACCTTAGGTTTGAAGAAGTATGTAACTTAACTAAAGAATAAACGGAAGAAAATAGAAGAACTTTGCGTATACGTTTTCTGGATCAGAAAAGCTGGTTCTCAATTCTTGTAATATACTCCCTTCATCGCACAGTAAAAATGTAGCAATTATTGATGTATCTTCTATTTCTTTTCTCAGTTTATTCAGGCCCATAATTTGCAGCTGCTGACTGATTTATGTTCGTGATGCAACAGGAGATCTTGTTATTAGGTTTCATTTCAAGCAGATGGAGCTGCTTACTTGAACATTTCATTTCACGCTCTTATGATTTCCTTCCCATTTCCAAGCAATACTCTGATCTACAAAACTTGCTTCAGGGAGACTCTCAGTCTTTGCGTTCAAAAAGTCAAGTCCTTAATTCCAAGGTACAAAAGTTACATGTATTAATTTGGGTTACTACTAGAGGCAATGAATGAGGCAGAGATGTTTTTAGGCTTGCTTTTAAGCTATGTTATGCGGGTACGGGTGAAAGTACGGGCGCAGGGGTAGGACATGACACATCTGTTCCATCAAGGGCTGAGACCTCATTTTTCTTATGTGTCACTTCCATCAGAGATTTTTGACGTTGAGTGGGCTCTTGGTGATTTATTTCGAACTTGCTATTCTTTTGTTTTTCTAAATTATACAAATCAACCTTAAGATCTGCTGCACTAGCTTGGAATACATTTCTATCAGATCAGAGCAGACATAAGTGTTTTCATAGCCATATTTGTTTTCTTTTAGCAGGTAAAAACGCAGATATATGTGTTCTAACTCAATATCCAATTGGCTCTATTGAATTGAAATTCAGATGGGATTCTGATATTTTTGTGATATTAGTCGTCTCACTAAAGCCCTAGAGAAAAAGAGGTGTTGTATGTTGGTATTGATATCTTTATGGAAACTCTAAAAATATATAAGGATCAAATTAGCTGGTATTATTAAACCAGTATATCATATCGTCTAATACTTGATGTACTTGAAATATATGTTAAACCATATCTGTATATTTGGATGTGGCCAATATTTTTGCCAGTACCATATACTTTTAGCATATTTTAAATGGTTACCAAATATGATACGCATTGTTAGAAAAACAAACACAAAAATAGACTTGTATTGGATTATCCATATCATTTGTATAGTAATTCCATCAGTATTTACGTTTCTCTGGACATTAATCATGTTTCCATCTCTCAATTTGGAGTAGGAGAAAGACATCATCGAGTATCTGATGCTGCTATTGAAGAGTCAGCCCCACAAATTATGGGAAGTCCCTGCAGTCCTTGTAGCAGCAGCAATTCCTTCCGGGTAATCTTTTATGTCATAATATGCACTATCCATCTATGATGTTCTTTATGAGGTTGTGCTAGTGTTTGGTATTATATGTTACTCCATGTTTGTTTGCAATCACATAGCAAATGCAATTGCTATTAGGAATCACCTTAAAACTCAAAATGATGCAGAATATGTGTGGGCCTCCTTTTTCATTTGTTATTATTCTGTTTTGGTGGAATTTCAGGTCAATTTTGTTCAAGATATACTTCAATGATATAGAAAAGCAATTCACTGAAGCTTCTTCCTCAACAAGGTTTGCCCTCAAAACATCTTGATCTTTGCAATGATTCTGTTATTTGATTTTCAGAGCTATAATGAAGCTTACCAATTCATACCCACATTTCTCCTGTAGATGCTGTGGCTGCCATCAAGTTGGAAAGAAGCACAGGGATTGTAAGTTGATCATAAATAAAAGCTGTAAACTTGTTAAGTTATGATGAATTTTAACTGTTGAAAAATTTAGTCTGTCATAAACTATTGAGTCTCCCCTAAAACCCCTCTCTGTTGAAGGCATATTGACATACCAATGAAAAGATCGTTACCTGTCATGGCAAGAAGCCGATGATGACTGATGGATGTTATGTCAGCAGCCTTCTTTGAAAATGAAAGAAGACGGTGCCGAAAAAATCAAAAGAATGGGCCCTACAACATTTTATTCAACGAAAATTTGGCAGTATTTGAAATTGTTAAAGCTGCATAGTAAACATATTATTATTTTATTGTGCATAGTATTTTTCCAAACACTATAAATAGGCCTTAAACTCTTAAGAAAAAACTCATCCCGAAAACAACTTCTCTTGTAGAAGAGTGAGAGAAAAAAAAATAGAGAGAGTATTTCTTTGTTAAGAGAGATTGTAACTCTAGAGTTTTTTCCTTATAGTAAATTCTTCTATCCTTGTCCGTGGACGTAGGCAATCAAGTGTCGAACCACGTAAATCTGTGTGTCTATCATTTTATCTCTACTTTTGTTTTACTATTGTTGCGATCCTGCTCTATTAGGTCTCGGGTTTGTCCCAACAAGTGGTATCAGAACCAACTTAGGGTGCTTGTATATATCTATTTATCGTATGCTCTGTGGCTGCCACAAAATGTGGATTCTTCACATCAGAAAATAAGTTAGGTTATCCCTTTGAAGGTGACATTTACTATTCACGAGTACGGTACTATTCATAAATACACCATTATTCACAAGTATGGTACTATTCACAGATACGATTACTGTTCATAAATACAATTACTGTTTATGTGAGATAGTAAAAATTACTGTTCGTGATAGAAGTAATGGCGGCAAACTTCAAGATCGAGAAATTCGACGGGAATAATTTCTCACTGTGGAAGTTGAAGATAAAGGCTATCTTGAGAAAAGATAATTGTTTGGCGACCATCGGTGCAAGGTCGGACGACATCATAGATGATAAAAAATGAAAAGAGATGGACGAAAATGCTATTGTAAATCTCCATCTGGCATTAGCAGACGGGGTGCTGTTAAGCATAGAGGAGAAGAAAACAACAAAGGAGATCTGGGATACTCTAACAAAGTTATATGAGGCAAAATTTATGCATAACAAATTTTTTTTAAAAGGAGACTTTACACTGAGGATGGCGGAATTTACATCGATGACCGATCACATCAACATCCTAAACACACTGTTCTCCCAACTCACAACATTGGGGCATGCAATCGGTGCGAATGAACGTGCAGAACTTCTACTGCAGAGTCTACTTGACTCATATGATCAACTCATCATCAACCTGACAAACAACGTCCTCACGGACAATCTAGTCTTCGACGATGTTGCAGCCGCGGTTCTGGAGGAAGAAAATTGGCGTAAGAACAATGAAGACGCAGTTCTGGAGGAAGAAAATTGGCGTAAGAACAATGAAGACAGGCATGTAAGTTTACAACAAACGGAGGCTTTAACGGTGACGAGAGGAAGATCAACGGAACGTGGCTCCAGTGGGAGCCATACCCATGGTAGTTCAAAATCACAAAGTAAGAAGAATATCAAATGCTACAACTGTGGCAAAAAAGGACACGTCAAATCGGAGTGTTGGCACAATAAGAAGAGTGGAGATAAAAAGTCTTCAGAGTCATCAACATCTCAAGGATACGTTGTTAGCACATCAGACGATGGTGAAATTCTATTCAGTGGAGCAACTATTGTTGATGAAGGTAGAAAGAGGTTTGCTGATGTCTGGCTTATGGATTCAGCAGTCTCCTGACACATGACCTCCCGGAGAGAATGGTTTCACAAATATGAACTTATCTCAGGATGATCTGTATTCATGGGGAATGATCATGCCTTGGAGATTTCTGGTATTAACACTATCAAAATCAAAATGTTTGATGATACAATACGCACCATTCAAGATGTGTGACATGTGAAGGGCTTGAAGAAGAATTTATTATCTTTGGGACAATTAGATGAGCTCGCGTGCAAGACCCATATAGAAAATAGGATCATGAAGATTGTTAGAGGGATGCTTGTGGTAATAAAAAGAGAAAAGATAGCTACAAATCTTTATATGTTCAAGGGAGAAACCCTGCAGGAAGCTGATTCATGTGTGACATCAACCAGTCGTGGAGAAGAACAAACCATGATGTGACATCGCAAACTAGGCCATATGTCAGAACGAGGCTTGAAGATTCTCTCCGATCAGAAGCTGCTTCCTGGACTTTCGATAGCTCTTTCATTCTGCGAGCATTGTGTTATAAGTAAGTAGCATCGGCTGAAGTTCAACACATCAAGTTCTAGAAGGAAGGTTATTCTGGAACTGGTTCATTCTGATGTATGACAAGCACCGATTACATCATTGGGAGGAAAAAAATATTTTATGTTCTTTATTGATAACTACTCCAGGAGATGTTGGGTGTATCCTATCAAAAAGAAGGCGAATGTGTTCTCAGTCTTTAAAACCTACAAAGCGCGGGTCGAGCTTGAAGCTGAGAAGAAGATCAAGTGCTTGAGGTCAGATAATAGAGGAGAATACATAGACGGTGAATTCCTAGCATTCTGCAAGTATGAAGGCATCAAAAGACAATTTAGTACGGTTTATACTCAACAAAATGGAGTGACGGAGCGGATGAACAGAACTCTGTTGGAAAGAACAAGAGCTATGTTGGTAACTACAAATCTGGATAAAGTCTTTTGGGCAGAAACAGTAAAAACCGCCTGTTATGTGGTGAATCGATCTCCATCAATCGTAATACAATTGAAGACGCTGATGAAGATGTGGACTGCCAAGCCAGCTGATTATTCTAACCTCCATATATTTGGAAGTCCAGTGTATGTAATGTACAATGTCTAAGAAATTACAAAGCTGGATTCAAAATCCAAAAAATACTTATTCTTGAGGTATGCTGATGGAGTAAAGGGGTATCGCCTGTGGGATCACACTGCCCGTAAGGTTATCATCAGCAAAGATGTTATCTTTGTAGAGAACCAACTACAAAGTGAAGAGAAAGAAAGCAGTTCGAGGAAGGACTTAGAGATTGTAGCTGTTCAGGTAGAAGATAATCCGAATTCTTCTGAAGCAACACTGGAGTATGATGTACAAGAATCGGTCGAGTCTGAGGCTCCAGAAATTCGAAGGTCAACTCGTGAGAGAAGACCACCGACTTGGCACTCGGAGTATATTACGGAGAGTAATGTTGCACTGTCTTTTAACGGAGAATGGAGAGCCATCAACTTTTTATGAAGCTATAAATGGCACAGATGCATCTTTGTAGATGGCAGTAATGCAGGAAGAAATCGAATCTCTCCATAAGAACAAGACTTGGGTACTTGTGTCACTACCATAAGGAAGAAACACCATTGGAAATAAATGGGTGTACAAGATCAAGCGAAATGACGATGATCAAGTGGAGCGATATCGTGCTAGATTGGTAGTAAAATGATATGCTAAAAAAGAATATATTGACTTTAATAAAATATTTTCTCCTATAGTTCGACTTACAACAGTCCGAATAGTCTTGGCTATGAGCGCTATATTTGACTTATATCTAGAGCAACTAGATATGAAAATAATATTTCTTCATGGAGATCTTGAAGAAGAAATTTACATGCTCCAACCAAAAGGTTTTGAAGAAAAAGGAAAAAAATTTGGTTTGTAGATTAAACAAATCTCTGTACGATCTAAAGCAGGCGCCGATGTGTTAGTATAAGAGATTTGATTCATTCATCACGAACCTTGGATACAACAGACTTAATTCAGACCCTTGTGCATATTTTAAGAGGTTTGGTAAAAATAACTTTGTTATCTTATTGTTGTATGTTGACGACATATTGGTTGTAGGCCCCAACAAAGATTGTTTCAAAGAATTAAATGCTCAATTAGCTAGGAAATTTGAAATGAAGGATTTAGGATCTGCAAACAAGATTCTAGGGATGCAAATTTATCGAGACAGAGTTAATAGGAAGATTTGGCTTTCTTAGAAGAACTATTTGAAGAAAATCTTGCGACGCTTTATCATGCAAGATTGTAAGTCAATTTCTACCTCACTTCTTATTAATTTTAAGTTATCCTCCAGTATGAGTCCTAGCAGTGAAGAAGAGATGATGGAGATGTCTCGAGTACCGTATGCATCAGCAGTGGAAAGCTTAATGTTCGTGATGATTTGTACAAGACCAAATATTGCACAAGCAGGGGGAGTGATTAGTCGATACACGTCGAATCCTGGTAAAGAGCATTGAAATGTTGTAAAGAGAGTTCTAAGATACATTCAAGGAATCTCAAATATTGTATTATGTTATGGGGGATCTAATTTTATTGTCAGTGGATATGTTAATTCTGATTATGCAGGTGATCGTGATAATAGCAAATCCACCACAGGTTATGTGTTTGCACTTGTTGACGGAGCTGTAAGCTAGGTTTCAACACTGCAGTTAGTTGTGGCTACTTCAATAACAAGCCAGTAAAGAAGCGATGTGGTTGAAGATGGTGCTGGAGGAACTCAGCTATGAACAAAAGAAGATATCTTTATTTTGTGACAGTCAGAGTGCTTTGCATTTGACAAGAAATCCAGACTTTCATTCAAAGACCAAGCACATTCGAGTTCAGTACCATTTCGTTCGTGAGAAAGTGGAAGAAGGAATAGTGGATATGCAGAAATTCACACCAAAGACAACCTAACAGATTTTTTGACAAAAGCAGTCAGTACTGACAAATTTATCTGATGTTGATCCTCCTGTGATCTGTCAGAGACATGAGCAATATGAAGATGACAAGATAGAAAGAATGGTGTGAAGATATGATTGATGCTTAATCAAATCTTCAAGTAGGAGATTGTCAGCAGCCTTCTTTGAAAATGATAGAAGACGATACCGAAAAAATCAAAAGAATGGGCTCCACAACATTTTATTCAACGAAAGTTTGGTAGTGTTTGAAATTATTAAAGCTGCACCGTAAACATTATTATTTTATTGTGCATAATATTTTTCTAAACACTATAAATATGTCCTAAACTCTTATGGAAAAACTCATCCCAGAAACTTCTCTTATAGAAGAGTGAGAAAAAAAAATGTAGAGAGAGAGAGTATCTCATTGTTAAGAGAGATTGTAACTCCAGAGTTTTCTCCTCATAGTAAATTCTTCTATCCTTGTCTGTGGACGTAGGCAATCAAGTGCCGAACCACGTAAATCTGTGTGTCTATCATTTTATCTCTACTTTTGTTTTACTATTGTTGCGACCCTGCTCTATTGGGCTCCGGGTTTGTCCCAACATGTTATATATCTAATTCAAAGATGAGGAGATTAGAAATTTTCTTGTCAAAAGGTTGCGATGTGTTTATTGTGCAAATGTTGTTGGCATATTACACCAATCTGGTTTCACTATAATATAACCCATGCTCTGAATTTTCAGAATCCATTACTCCGGCTTCCTTTTTTCACTGGCAATTAAAAATTAATAATATGATGCATTTTTCCAGGTGAAGTAGCTGACAGGATTCGATGCCTTCATATGTTTCATGTTCAAGGTCCAAGTCTAATGGTTGATGATTCAAGTGTTTGATCCATGGTTCAAGATCTCTGGGTTAGTACTTTGATCCATGGCTCAAGATTTCAGGAAGGTTAGTCTTCTTCTTTTTTATTTACTTGCATTTGAAAGTGCCAAAAACACATACTTAACTTTTCAATACAAACATCTAATTCATAGATTTAAGATGAAATTATCATTTAACTTTTAATATTTAGAGAGATCTCTGAATTATGTGGAACAAAAATTTTCATATGCAGCTGTAGCTCGGACTATGTTATTTGCCTTCAAATTGATTAAGGTCCAGCAAATTTTGAGCTAGTGAGTTTTTGCTTGTTTGTTCAGTACCTTTTGTTTTGAATCGGTTCATTTTTTGGCCTAAAAGTTTACCTATTCCTTTGTTTGTCTGTTAACTCCTTTACTTGTGTTTCAACAAAGTCTAGGAAAGCTAACAACAGAAAAAGGAAGCAAATAGACAATTTAGTGAAAGATGAGAGCATGTTAAGTTTTTTATTTGTGTCCTTTAGAATAGAGGGTGCATTTCTTTATTCAAATAAATAATCTTTCTATGGAAGTTATTAAATTCCTTTGGTCAATGGCTTTACCTTGACACATCCTTGTACATTGTATTTACAATTTAGCATTATTATTTTCCTTGTTTTTTTCCCCAATCTGATCCTAGTGTATTGCATTTATTAAACTTAATGAAAGTAAAATTTATTAATAATTTTCGAAATTCATATGCAAAAATTCTGTAATTTTACTAAGTTACCCATCTTTACTTCTGCTATTTCTTTTCATGTCAATCTTTGAGACTAGGCTAAGGGTTGGTTTGTAACTTAATCAGCTCTAGCCTCTAGGTACAGGTTATGATATTTCCAATTTCCATTACCAACTACATAATAGAATCCCATAATCTCAGCTAATCTGGAGCCTAATCGACCCTTTGAAGAAAAAGTTGAACAGTTTGGTTAATCTGAAGCTTGCAAAAAACCTAAATGCTGGCACTAGCTGAGTTATCATCAATGCTGGGCTTAGGTTAGCCGAATGTGTCCTGTTATTTGTTAATATATCTATAGCTCATACCTATTTTAACATATCTCTTATAACCAATTAACCATCAGATTAAAAATATGGCTTTTTACACAGATCTTAATATACTTTCCCACATAAGGTCATCTACTTGCAAAAGATAAGATATCTACTTCCAAAGCAAAAAGCAAGATAAAACTAACTTTAATTAACAGATCTTTTCTGATCTAGTAGATAATGAAACCTCTTTAAAGTATTCTAAACATTTTGGACTTTATGCCCTTAGTGGTAGGCAAGGGCATGACTGTTCTGTGGATATTACCGCGCACTGGCATGTAGGCTCACTAGACACGGGTTCAGACATTATTTATGTCCCCCATGTTTTAGCTGCCATCTATCTACTAGTTATGCAAATTAAATGTCATTTAATTGGATAGGCTAAAATGTAATCTTTATTAAAGTGATTGTTTTCATCCTTCCCTTTTGCTTTCCAATCCAAGTCATCAACATGTTCAGCGGTCAATTAGACATCACTAAAAGGCATTGATATAATTTAATCAAACCATAATTTATTCTGCTCATCACTTTAGAATAAACTTTTCCATCAACTAACCTCAGACGCCTCTAAAATGACTTTCCACCAAGAGTCCAAGATCCTGACCGCCTTTTAATTTCGCAGACCCTTGTTTTTCTAAAGTGAGAAACCCATACATCAGCATAATGAAGGTCACCGAAAGCAGCTGTTTTAGACCGGTTGGATCCTTTCTATGGGGACAAAGCTACATAACTTGATTGATCCTCGAAATATAATCTAGTTGGACTGAAGCCTAGAATTGAATCATATCTTTTCTCACTTTAGATTCATCGTGCTTGTGTGGAAAGCAATAGAAAGGTGTTTGGTCTACTGGCAGATCTTGGTGCTTCACTTTTAGCATATGAGAGCAGAACGACACGGCTTTAACACGTGAGCATATCTACTGTTAATGATTCTCCGCGGTCTTTATCTCTCTTATCTCACTATAAAGCCACAATATAGTCTAGTGGAGTCACTTGTAAGAAGCAAGAGATTGTGAGTTGTATTTGAGCGTTGGAAGCATGAAGATGTTCGTCAAATGGGAGATTACTTCTGCACAGGCTGAGGAGAAGTCTGCAGTCATGACTGGGCAAAGCTGCTCTTTAGCCATGAGGCAAATGGTACGGAAATTGCGATCTCAGTTGAGGAGGAAGTTGAAGAAGTTGAGACGACGGAAGCGTGCAAAGTTTGGTTATGATCTGGAGAGTTACTTTCAGAATTTCGATGATGGCTTTCAAGCTCATTGCAGGCCGGTCTCCTTTGCCTGACTATAACCAGTGTGATCCCTTTGCGCTTCATTTGTTCCTTGGAAGTGAAATTCAGATTGGAATAATGAGTCGGGAGAAAATTACACCTGTATATATATATATATATATCGTTCAGTCCGTGTAATCGATCTAATTTACGGGGTGGCTGTTGCAGACTTGTATCTACCTTATGAGAGACTGACCTGTCTTCTAAACTCTTTTTCTTTCTGTCTGAGGTGTATATTGCAATAGCATGAACAAAAAGTCTGCAAATTGTAAATTTGTGATTTCAAAATGATTAGAAAAATATTTGCAAGTTTCCATCTGAATCATAGAAAAGGATGGAAAAATTGAATGATGGCATGTTGTCTTTGATAGCCGCTTGATCTTCTGAGTACTTATCGAGAAGAGGTCCCTAGAATTACGGAAAGAAGCAGGTATTAATTGGGTTACACTGACTTTTGACACCATACTTAATCAACCAAATAAAGACTGACATTTTTAAATAAATTATTGAGTTTGCTTCCCTGGAACAAATTGATCTGCCTACTTTTTTGATCATCTTGTGGTGCTATTCTCATAGCTCTACAACCTCTCTGAGATTTACTTCCTGGGCTTTGAAGGAACCTGATTTTTCACTACCCTTCATGTACGGAACATGTGACGAAAAATTTGACACCTGCTCACATTTCGAGACATGACAGTTATGTAAAATATAACAGAGTATAAACTAACAGAGTATAGACGGTGCGATGATAAATACATTATTGTTTATTTTGAAGTTTGGAAATGTCTCGGAAATATAGGCTTGGGATGATTAACTAAACTATTTAATAAGATTATCAAGACGAAAAGAATGCCGAAGACAAAAAGAATGTCGGATGAGTGGAGGATTAGTACTTTGATACCGATATATAAGAATAAATGGGATATACAAAGTTGTTCAAATTATTGAGGTGTGAGACTCATGAGTCATACTCTGAAACTTTGGGAGAGGGTAATTGAGCAAACACTAAGAAAAAAGATAAGTATATCTAAAAATTAATTTGGTTTTATGCCTGAGAAGTCAACTATGTAACCTATGCATATTTTGAGATGGTTGATGGAGAGATATAGAGATAAGAGAAAATATCTATATATAGTTTTTATCGATCTAGAAAAAGCTTATGATAGAGTGCCTAGAGAGGTAATGTGGTGGGTGTAGAAAAAAAACATGTATCTAGTATATATATTGATGTGATTAAATATATGTATGATAGAGTAACAACTAAAGTCAGAACTAATGAAGGAGAGACTAAACCATTTTCTATTACCATAGGTATACACCAATGATCAACTTTAAGTCCTTATTTTTTGCATTAGTTATATATAACTTACGAAGCACAGTCAGGATGAAATCCCATGGTGTATGTTATTTACCGATGATATAGTATTAGTTGATAAAACTAGAGGATGGATTATTTCTAAAGTAGAAAGATGGAGACAAGCTCTTGAATCTAAAGGTTTTAGGATTAGTAGAATAAAAACAGAATATACAGAGTGCATTTTTAGTAAAACTAAGAAAGAAAGAGAGCCTATGGTACATATTGATGGTCAATAAATATCTAAAACTAATCATTTTTGCTATTTAGGATTAATCATTAGGCATGATGGTGAGATAGAGGATGATGTTGTGCATTGAATTAAATCGGGATGGTTGAAATGGAGGAGTGTTTCGGGAGTCTTATGTGATCGTAGAATACCAATAAAACTAAAGGAAAAATTCTATAGGACAGTTATAAGACCAACTATGCTTTATGGGTCAGAGTGTTGGACAATTAAAAAATAATATGTTTAAAAAATGAGTGTAGCAGAAATAAGAATGTTACGATGGTCTTGTGGGTATACATTACAAGATAGGATAAGAAATGAGTGCATCCATAATAAATTAGAAATTACGCCTATTGAAGATAAAATGAAAGAGAATAGATTAAGATGGTTTGATCATGTATAGCGGAGATCTAGAGGTAGATCTAGAATAACTTGGTTAGAAGCAATTAAGAATAATATGATTAATACTAATTTAACGGAGGAGGTGACCTATAACAGAATGGAATGAAAAAAATAAGATTCATGTAGTCGATACCAAACATTTAGGATAAAGGCTTGGTGGTTGTTGTTGTTGTTGTCGTTGTTGATCGTAAGAGTGTCAACATGTTCTCAACCAACACCAGCGCATGTGCTCTCTTCCATCCTCATCAACGCAAAGGCCCATAAATTGATCACCATACCTCCCTAAACACTTCGACAGAGAGAAAGAGGGTAAATAGAGAGAAAGGGAGTCAGAATAGCGTGTTTCTTTTTTTTTTTTTTAATTTTTATACCGTGTCCGCTGCTGAGCCTCTTGCTTTGGTACTACACTAGGAGAAGGCTACTCACGGAACATATTGGAGGACGTTGGAGGGAAAAGAGATGATGGAGCGAGCCTGAAGAACTACTACGTGGGCTGAAAGCTCAACGTGGGCCTCCACAACATCAGAAAATTCGATGAAGTGCTTGGAGATTGCATCAGTACAATAAGCAAGTACATGGGCTCTTCTCAGTACAAAGTTGATGCCCAACGAGTCGCGGATGAATCTGAACTGTTCCTGGCTGAGACATTAAAATTTAAAGGTGATGATCTTTGATGTCGATAACACACTCCTCTTCAATTTGCCCTATTACAAGAAGCACAAGTTTGGGTGTTATCTCTGATTTATCTTTTAGTTTTCTAATCAGTTCTAAACAGGGGCGTAGCCAGGGCAGTCTTGTCCTGGGCAGCTGCCCAGGGCAAGAAACTGCCCCACTTTACCTCCCCCTCCCGCCTCCCCTCGCTTCCTTTCTTCTCCGGCCACTTCACCTTCCTCTTCCGCAGATCCAACCTCCTCTCCCTCCTCTTCCAGGACCTCCATCTCAACAATCTCCAACCCTCCTCCCTCTCTCGCGCCTCCCTCCTCTCCCTCACCGAGCTCCTCTCCCTCCTCCGTCGCTTCAAGTCCCCCACCACCGACCACCTTTAGTTTTCGCCCAGGGCAAAAAATATTTCTGGCTACGCCACTGGTTCTAAAGGAAATAATCTTATTATTACAAAACTCTCAAATTATCAACTAAATATCAAAGACTTTATTTAACTTTCACCTAAAAGACAATAATAATCTCAAATTTTATTCCTTGCTCCGTTCTAAGAATTTGAAAATCATTAATTCCACCTAATCTTGAGTCTCTGAAAAGAATGAAAACAACACAATGAGTTTACAACTCTCTCTCTCTCTCTCTCTCTCTCTCTCTCTCTATATATATTACAAATATCTGAGCTCTTCAAACTAAATTTAATACAAAACACAATCAAATCATTCTTCTCCAGCTTTCAGGGTAAGAAACCATGCGGAACAAATAAGAGGAAAGGCTAAGATGATCATTAACTATAAAAAAAGTTAATGAAGCCATCAAGTTTGATGGTTTCTTCATCTCTAATAGTGAATTGTTATTACATAGAATCTGAGACTCCAGATGGTTTAGTAAATTTGATGCAAAGTCTAGATTCTGGCAGATTAAAATTAAGGATGAAGAAAGCAAAAGGCTAACATCATTCAGCTGTCCTAATGGAGGACATTATGAATGGAATGTTATGCCAGTTGATCTTAAAAATGATTCACAAATATTTCAAAAAATGGATGAATAGCTTTTTTGGGCATTTGTTGTTGTCTATATAGATGATATCCTTGTGTTCTCTAAAACAAAAGAGGAACACAAAGAGCATTTGATAGCAGTAGCTAAGCTATTGCTCAATCATGGTATTATTCTATCTCCTAAAAAGATAACTCTTATGCAAGAGGATATCAAATTTTTAGGAAAAAGAATAAAAAGTAGTCACATTGAATTGCAAGACCATATCATTACAGAGATCAAAGAATTCAAGGACAACTTTAAAACTCTAAGGTACCGTTTGGCAAAGAGTTAAATGAGGGGTTAAGTAACCCCTTCTTAACCTACCAAACACAACAAATCTATATAAGGGTTAAAGTGAGTTAAGCATCCATAATTTGTCAAACATAAAAAATATAGAAGGGTTAAGTTAACCCCTCTAGAGGGGTTAAAATGAGTTAACCCCTCAAAATGAGGGGTTTACTAATACTCCTATTTAGATGGAATAAGAGTTAACCCTTCTAATTATAAAGAAAATAGTCAAAATCATTGTTATTCCCAAACACTAAAATTGATCATAATGGCTAAAATAAAACTTATTTAACGGGTTAATAATTTATTCATTCGGACTATCAAATGGGCTAAGTACATTAATCCTTCTTTTTAACCCATCTTCATTAACCATTTGCCAAACGGGCCCTAAAAGATCTGCAAAGCTTTCTTGGCTTACTAAATTATGAGAGAATGTATATATCCAATCTCTCTGATAAAATTTCTTCACTTTAGAATAAACTTACTGAAGAATAGAGGAAATATAAAGAACTAAATAATAAAGGAGTGACCTGTTAGGACAAAATTAGAATTGTATTGAATGATGAGCAATTACAAGAAATTATCAACATCAAAAAGGAAATAAAGGAACAAAAGATCCTTTATCAGCCTTAATATGGAGATACATTAGTCATACAGACTGATGCTTCAGATATACATTGGGCAGAAATCTTGTTTGCACTCCCGCCTAAGCATCCACGGGCTAAATCGATATGTGAGCCTAGTTCAAAGGCAAAGATCAATCAATTAGACCCCGAAATATGTGCATGTTGCTCTGAAAAGTTTAAAGGACCCGAGAAAAAAATATGCAACACATGATAAGGAATTATTAGCTATAAAAATACCATTAATTCCTTGAAAATATATTTATTATCATCTGAGTTCATTATTTAAACAAATAATCAAGCTATTGCACAGTTCTTCAAAAAGAAAATCAATTCTTTAATTGAAAAGAATGTGCATAGAATTAGATGATCTATGAAATTAGAGAACTATATTTATAAAGTTCGATATATTCCTGGATTCACTAATATTGGTGCTGATTTTCTCTCCAAAAATGGCTAGTTCTTCAAAGCAACCACTGGATAAAGAAAAAGGAAAAACACCAACTCTCCCTCCAACAGAGGTAAAGGAGAAAGGTATGGATAAATAAATCCCAATACAATTAGAAATAGCTGAGGCCCTAAATTATAATTTAGGACCAGAAGTTGAACAAAAAGATATTTTAATAATATCTAGATTTTGCACTAGAGAGCTTTGGAAAAAGAGGTTTTGATGAAGTTATGAAGACCTTATGCTTCATTCTAAACCTTGAAGAAGCTTCAGCTAGAAAGAAAAATATACTCATCAACTAGCTGAATTTATAAAAATTATAACGACACCTGATAATATTTATGATTGTCCTTATTGTATCAGGTGCCCAGTCCATCAGCGAGACCCTTAACAAAGAAGCAACCAAAAATGATTTTGTTCCTGTAAAAGGTAAAACAAAACGCGATGCAGAAGAAAAAATTGCATAAAATAAGAAGCCCAATACTCCTTAAGGATATTGAAAAAAAGCCTCTTACAGACATTGTAGTTAAAAACTGGTATAATACCAG